GAGTGGTACCGTGTCACAGAACAGTGTGGGCGTGTTACAGTGTGTCGTAGACCAGTGTGGGCGTGGTACAGAGTATCATAGAACAGTGTGGGTGTGATACAGTGTGTCACAGAACAGTGTGGGTGAGGTACAGTGTGTCATAGACGAGTGTAGGCGTGGTACTGTGTGTCACAGAACAGTGTGGGCGTGGTACAGTGTGTCATAGAACAGTGTGGGCGTGGTACAGTGTGTCATAGACGAGTGTAGGCGTGGTACAGTGTGTCATTGAACAATGTGGGCGTGGTACAGTGTGTCATAGAACAGTGTGGGCGTGGTACAGTGTGTCATAGAACAGTGTGGGAGTGGTACAGATTATCATAGAACAGTGTGGGCGTGGTACAGTGTGTCACAGAACAGTGTGGGCGTGGTACAGTATGTCATAGAACAGTATAGGCGTCGTACAATGTGTCACAGAACAGTGTGGGCGTGGTACTGTGTCATAGAACAGTGTGGGCGTGGTACAGTGTGTCACAGAACAGTGTGGGCGTGGTACAGTGTGTCATAGACCAGTGTGGGCGTGCTACTGTGTGTCATAGACCAGTGTGGGCGTGCTACTGTGTCATAGAACAGTGTGGGCGTGGTACAGAGTGTCATAGACCAGTGTAGGCGTTGTACTGTGTGTCACAGAACAGAGTGGGCGTGGTACAGTGTGTCAGAAAACAGTGTGCGCGTGGTACAGAGTATCATAGAACAGTGCGGCGTGGTACAATGTGTCATAGAACAGTGTGGGCGTGGTACAGTGTGTCATAGACCAGTGTAGGCGTGGTACTGTGTGCCACAGAACAGCGTGGGCGTGGTACAGTGTGTCATAGAACAGTCTGCGCGTGGTACAGAGTATCATAGAACAGTGTGGGCGTGGTACAGTGTGTCATAGAACAGTGTGGGCGTGGTACAGTGTGTCATAGACCAGTGTAGGCGTGGTACTGTGTGTCATAGAACAGTGTGGGCGTGGTACAGTGTATCATAGAATAGTGTAGGCGTGGTACAGTGCATCACAGAACAGTGTGGGCGTGGTACTGTTTCAGATAACAGTGTAGGCGTGGTACAGTGTGTCATTGAACAGTGTGGGCGTGGTACAGTGTATCATAGAACAGTGTGGGCGTAGTACAGTGTGTCATAGAACAGTGTGGGCGTGGTAGAGTGTGTATCAGAACTGTGTGGGCGTGGTACAGTGTGTCATAGAACAGTGTGTGCGTGGTACAGTGTGTCATTGAACAATGTGGGCGTGGCACAGTGTGTCACAGAACAGTGTGGGCGTGGTACAGTGTGTCATAGAACAGTGTGGGCGTGGTACAGTGTGTCATAGAACAGTGTGGACTTGGTACAGTGTGTCATAGAACAGTGTGGGCGTGGTACAGTGTATCATAGAATAGTGTAGGCGTGGTACAGTGTATCACAGAACATTGTGGGCGTAGTACTGTTTCAGAGAACAGTGTAGGCGTGGTACAGTGTGTCATAGAACAGTGTGGGCGTGGTACAGTGTATCATAGAACAGTGTGGGCGTAGTACAGTGTGTCATAGAACAGTGTGTGCGTGGTACAGTGTGTATCAGAACTGTGTGGGCGTGGTACAGTGTGTCACAGAACAGTGTGGGCGTGGTACAGTGTGTCATAGAACAGTGTGGGCGTGGTAAAGTGTGTCATAGAACAGTGTGTGCGTTGTACAGTGTGTCATAAACCAATGTGGGCGTGGTACAGTGTGTCACAGAACAGTGTGGGCGTGGTACAGTGTTTTATAGACCAGTGTAGGCGTGGTACTGTGTGTCATAGAACAGTGTGGGCGTGGTACAGTGTATCATAGAATAGTGTAGGCATGGTACAGTGTATCACAGAACAGTGTGGGCGTGGTACAGTGAGTCATAGAACAATGTGGGCTTGGTCAGTATGGCATAGACCACTGTGGGCGTGGTACAGTGTGTCACAGAACAGTGTGGGCATGGTACAGTGTGTCATAGACCAGTGTGGGCATGGTACTGTGTCATAGAACAGTGTAGGCGTGGTACAGTGTGTCACAGAACAGTGTGGGCGTGGTACAGTGCGTCATGGAATAGTGTGGGAGTGGTACCGTGTCACAGAACAGTGTGGGCGTGTTACAGTGTGTCGTAGACCAGTGTGGGCGTGGTACAGAGTATCATAGAACAGTGTGGGTGTGATACAGTGTGTCACAGAACAGTGTGGGTGAGGTACAGTGTGTCATAGACGAGTGTAGGCGTGGTACTGTGTGTCACAGAACAGTGTGGGCGTGGTACAGTGTGTCATTGAACAATGTGGGCGTGGTACAGTGTGTCATAGAACAGTGTGGGCGTGGTACAGTGTGTCATAGAACAGTGTGGGAGTGGTACAGATTATCATAGAACAGTGTGGGCGTGGTACAGTGTGTCACAGAACAGTGTGGGCGTGGTACAGTATGTCATAGAACAGTATAGGCGTCGTACAATGTGTCACAGAACAGTGTGGGCGTGGTACTGTGTCATAGAACAGTGTGGGCGTGGTACAGTGTGTCACAGAACAGTGTGGGCGTGGTACAGTGTGTCACAGAACAGTGTGGGCGTGGTACATTGTGTCATGGAACTGTGTGAGCGTGTTACAGTGTGTCATAGAACAATGTGGGCGTGGTACTGTGTGTCATGGAACAGTGTGGGCGTGTTACAGTGTGTCATAAACCAGTGTGGGCGTGGTACAGTGTGTCACAGAACAGTGTGGGCGTGGTACGGTGTGTCACAGAACAGTGTGGGCGTGGTACAGTGTGTCATGAAACAGTGTGGGCGTGGTACAGTGTGTCATAGACCAGTGTGGGCGTGGTACAGAGTATCATAGAACAGTGTGGGTGTGATACAGTGTGTCACAGAACAGTGTGGGTGAGGTACAGTGTGTCATAGACGAGTGTAGGCGTGGTACTGTGTGTCACAGAACAGTGTGGGTGTGGTACAGTGTCATAGAACAGTGAGGGCGTGGTACAGTGTGTCATTGAACAATGTGGGCGTGGTACAGTGTGTCATAGAACAGTGTGGGCGTGGTACAGTGTGTCATAGAACAGTGTGGGCGTGGTACAGTGTGTCATGAAACAGTGTGGGCGTGGTACAGTGTGTCATAGACCAGTGTGGGCGTAGTACAGAGTATCATAGAACAGTGTGGGTGTGATACAGTGTGTCATAGACGAGTGTAGGCGTGGTACTGTGTGTCACAGAACAGTGTGGGCGTGGTACAGTGTCATAGAACAGTGTGGGCGTGGTACAGTGTGTCATTGAACAATGTGGGCGTGGTACAGTGTTTCATAGAACAGTGTGGGCGTGGTACAGTGTGTCATAGAACAGTGTGGATGTGGTACAGTGTGTCATAGAACAGTGTGGGCGTGGTACAGTGTGTATCAGAACAGTGTGGGCGTGGTACAGTGTGTCATAGAACAGTGTGGGCGTGGTACAGTGTGTCATAGAACAGTGTGGGCGTGGTACAGTGTGTCATAGAACAGTTTGGGTGTTGTATAGTGTTGTCATGGGGCAGTGTGGGCGTGGTACAGTGTGTAATTGAACAGGGTGGGCGTGGTACAGTATCATAAAACAGTGTGTCATAGAACAGTGTGGGCGTGGTACAATGTGTCATAGAACAGTGTGGGCGTGGTACAGTGGGTCATAGAACAGTGTGGGCGTGGTACAGTGTGTATCAGTTTGGCGTGGTACATTGTGTCATAGAACAGTGTGGGCGGGGTACAGTGTGTCATAGAACAGTGTGGGCGTGGTACAGTGTGTCATAGAACAGTGTGGGCATGGTACAGTGTGTCATAGAACAGTGTGGGCATGGTACAGTGTGTCATAGAACAGTGTGGGCGTGGCACAGTATATGTGTGGTACAGTGTAGGCGTGGCACAGTGTAGGCGTGGTGCAGTTTAGGCGTGGCACAGTGTATTCGTAGCACAGTGTATGTGTGACACAGTGTAGTTTTGGCACAGTGTAGGCGTGGTACAGTGAAGGCGTGGTACAGTGTAGTTGTGGCACAGTGTAGGCGTGGTGCAGTGAAGGCGTGGTACAGTGTAGGTGTGGTACAGTGTAGGTGTGGCACAGTGTAGGCGTGGCACAGTGTAGGCGTGGCACAGTGTAGGCGTGGCACAGTGTAAGTGTGGCACAGTGTAGGCGTGGCACAGTGTAAATGTGGCTCAGTGTAAGTGTGGCACAGTGTAGAGGTGGCACAGTGTAGGTGTGACACAGTGTAGGCGTGGCACAGTGTAGGCGTGGCACAGTGTAGGCGTGGCGCAGTGTTAGTGTGGGAGAGTGTAGACGTGGTACAGTGTAAGTGTGGCACAGTGTAGACGTGGCGCAGTGTTAGTGTGGCAGAGTGTAGACGTGGTACAGTGTAGATGTGGCACAGTGTAGATGTGGCACAGTGTAGATGTGGCATAGTGTAGGTGTGGCACAGTGTAGACGTGGTAGTCATGGCGGTGGTGAGCGTTGGAAAGTCTGTACCACCAGTCTGGGTGTATAGTGTGAGTGAGTGAGTGAGTGAGTGAGTGAGTGAGTGAGTGAGTGAGTGAGTGAGTGAGTGAGTGAGTGAGTGAGTGAGATTGTGTGTGTTTGTGTTTCTTACCTATTTTGTCTGCGAGGGATGAGCTCCACCATCCTTGCTTGTGTGCGCGTGTCATGATGGACAGGTGTAAATGAGTAAATAGTAAACAACGCGACTAATGAGGTGAGTATGCAAACAACGCGACTAATGAGTATGTGAGACAACACACACACGATGAGCTGACGATGAGCACGAGCAACAACGAGGTCTGTGAAAACATGAAAGGGGGGGGGGGCGGTGCATGTGTGAAAGTGAATGAACGCAAGTGGACGATTGGGGGGGTGATAGTGAACAATTTAGAATGAATGCAGTGATTGCTGGTGCTAGTTGTTGTTGTAGTGGTATTGGTGGTTGTGGTGGTTGTGGTGCTAAAGAGGGTACAATACGGAGGGCTACTACACCTACTGATGAGCCAGAGACAAGGAGTGGGCTCACAGATCGCTTGCGTTACCTCCTGCGGCCCCTCCCTGGAGTAGTGTCACCCTCAGGTGGCCCTCGTCGTCCACTCCTACCGATTTGGAGCAAATGAAGAGACAACTGCACGCCAGCACGAAGAGGCATCCTGGCAGGATGGTCGCCACTAGCAGGATGGTGGTGGTCCTTTGCGGGTCGAATTTGCCGATGACGAAGTTCTGGCTCTTGTCGGTGATGTAGCAGGGGTAGCGATCCGGGGTCATGCCGTCGAAGCCGTCGTGGGCGTGCGTCTCAAAGAAGGCTGTGCATTCCTTACGCAAGGTGTTGACGCAGCCCTCAGGGTTTATGCGTAGCTGGGTGTTGTTCATAACGCGTAGCGTGTGTTCCGGTGGGATGACCCACTCCGAGCGGTTGCCCAGGTTCTGATGCAGCTGCAAGAGCATCATGTAGTCTTTCAGGCCCTGCAGGTCTTCCGCGCTCCCTAATGTGGCGTTGAAACAGTCCGCAGACAGGAGGTCGTAGGTTGTCTTGCCTGTCACTTTCTCCACGTACGAACAGAAGATAAGGAGCGCCACCTTTTTGTCACGCCACTCCTGACTGTTGCTGACGGACTCGATACTGGATGTGGTGTTGAAGGTACTGTTGTCTGGGGAGTCCATGGACGAGCAAGCCGTGGCCACTAGTCTTTCCCGACTAAAAATTATAACATTCCGTTCTCGCATTTCAAGTTTCGTGCATTTCCGTTCACAGTCGCGCCAATACTTGTTGATCTCTTTCAGGTGGTGGCACTTGCCGGCCTTACAGGAATATACCCCGTTAAGCCTGTCTTCGCACTTTTCCTCATTGCACTGGACTGGATTTCGATCTACTTTACGACTGTGACACATAAATGCAGGTGTGATGTTTCTGCACTCGTTTTCACCATCTTTAGTACAGTAGTAGAGGCCGGTTAGATCTTTACACTGTCCTCTCTTACAGTACCTAATGTGGGTTACATTGACGTCGAGCGCCGAGCAGGCGTCGTCAGATATATCAACGCAGTCCCGAAAGTTGACTTTTGACCCGTTGTTACGTACCATGACGTTGATCTGCATGCATGTGCCAGAGCCCTTGGACAGGCACCACTCGCCGCACGTCGACCAATTACAAGGCAGTTTCTTGTTCCCCGAGGCTAAGTCTTTAGCTTCTACCGTCGTGCACATTATGGGCGTCATTTTAAAGCCCATTGCCAGTTCATCTTTCGAAGGAATAATGACGATAACTGTCAGGTAAAGTAGCGATACCCCTGACAAGATGGCCACCATTTGACACACGCATATACCTAAACAAATCTGCTTTTCGGCAGTCATCTTTGCGAGACGTTGGCTTTACACCAGACTAGAAACAAGTAACAACGAGTGTGTTTGTAGAGGTCAGAGCCAGAAAGCACCGTCCACCACAACAACTGGCCGCCTGTGTTCGCGCCTCGACCATCAATGTTGTCTCAGGAATTTGTCTGCATGGCGGCAGGACCGTCAGGCGGGGACATGCTCGCTCACGCACTCCTCACTCACGCAATGTTTCCCCCCACACGCATAATGAGCAACCACTGTTAGGGTTCCTGCTGTATTTCCTTCAAGTCCGCCTCCCTCAGCGTCGACGTTTCAACCACCGCATAATCGGAAACTCTGAGAATTTTCATGAGTGGCGAAGTAAAGATGGCGTGCGAGTAACTGGCGCAAGCGCCGCTCGCCCACGACTGTGGAACCTCAAGGAAGCTAACTATATAAATATTTTTTCCTTCAATCTCAAAAGCTTCATCTACTTTTTAATAAGGAATTTGTATAATACTAAGCTTAAACTTTAAAATGTTATTGTCATTAAGCAATTGTTTATATACCTATGTATCCGCCAAAGCAATACATAGCGGATACATAGGTGTTTGCACCACACATGCGCACACAATGCGCATGTGTGGTGCAAGCACTGCAGTAGTCCGCCTGGGACGATGCCATCATCCCAACATTTATTTTTTCCCGTCTATATCTAGCTGAATTTTGTATGTGGCTTTGCAGATATGAAAAGGTAAGCAATCTCCTGGTAAACAAAGAATCTTTCACGTAAATTTTTAAGCGAAACAAAGCGAAAAAAGAACGGATGTATGAATGGAGATTGACAGGGCGGGGATCAATACTTGGGTTGGACCTCCACTGCAGCTGCCGTTCTCTCTCGGTGCAGCGCTTCCATTTTCTCTTACACGTGACTAAAATTTTATTTTCACCAGCCGCCTATTTGTGTCCTATTACTATACAGAAATTAACCCATCCTCTTGTTTAGACAGAACTTTTTCTGTGTGAACCATCGTACATATATTAACGTAATGGACAATTAGACTCTAGAACTTGGTACTATTCACTTTACAATCCGGAAAAAAATAAAGCTAAAACCAAACTTAAATATTCCTAGGCCTAGTATAGCAAATATATGTACCATTTTAAGTCTCAGATTGCGTGTATTAGGCCTAGGATGGTTAGGTCAGGTTTTATTATTAACAAATACAAAAACTTTTCCTGTCTGTCCAAATTCAATAGTACCAAACTGTACCAAGTAATCTACTTGGTAGATTACTGTTAAATACTGGTAGAAAAGTGTTAATTTCGTTTCTACCCAACACTGCATGGCCTAACTACTGCCCCAGCAAAAGTTAAGTGCATGGAGACTTAATATGCCATAACTCACAGCGAATCTCAACAGCAATCAACCACAATTAACCAATTTTCATTGTGCCTGTCTATCGACGACTCTCTTGCCAATCGTTTCACTATACGCCTAACCCCACTACCATTCTCCAAGTATCTACCTCTGGAAACATTAACAAAAATCTATCGCCGAAAACTTGCCCAAACACAGCAGCAAGCAAGGTAGGGGTGCCTCTCGCTCTTTATCCATAACACCAAGAGACCTGAATGAACCACTGGCACCGCTGCATTCTTCGCCAATGTTGGTAAACACAGCATCCGCTCCCCTTCCTCTCTGCCAGTCCCCGCCTTCATCTCAACTCAATACCCAAGCTTTAGAATTCATTCAATCTATGGCGCCCTGTTCAAACTTCAAACCATTGAAGAGTAACCCATGGCTGCAGAAACTGCACAACCTTGTCCTCCTGCAATCTGAAGCAATTTCAGCCCTCCAAGCCACAGTTACCCAATAACAACAACAAACTATAGACCGCCTCCTTGAATCGTCGACGAATAACAACCAAGAAATTCTCAACTTACAAGCTGTTGCAGACGATGCAATGGATCAAATACATAAGATCAAAGCCGATGAAACCCAATCAACTCAAAGTGACTTCCTTCAAAAGCTGGAAAAATGAATAAATCTTCAGATTCACCAGGCGGCTTCCGAAGACGACCAAGAGCAGCAACACCTTCATGACTCCCTGATAATTAGCACTGCTGATCTACCTGATGAACAACAAGGTGAGAATTGTTGTAATGTAGCCCACATCCTAATTAATTCAAAGATCAAAGTCAACGTTGATATCAAATCAGCTGTCAGGATAGATAAAAACAGTTCCCGTAGCAGTAGGAGAATGCTTATCAAACTTGCAAATCCCGCTATTAAGTCTGACCTCATACAATCAGCTGCTAAGCAAAAAACCAACCTCTACATAAATGAGTGCCTTACAAAGCAGCGTGGATCACTCCTCTTCAGGCTGCGTAAAATTCGAAAACTAAACCCCTGGTCTTATCAAGCAGTGCTACACTAGGAATGGAACGATCATTGTAAAGAAGGAAAGTGCAGGAAAATATATGAAATAAAGTGTGACCAACAACTACTGGCCTTCTTTAATGATTGGGGGTATATCTGAAAACCTGAACCCGCCTAATGCCAATACTGAAAATAACTCTTGAGTGTTAGAGCCTTACCTAACCTTGTCCAAGGCGCTGTCTCTGCCTTACCGTTTAACTAATGTTCTCTCATCCATATAAGTTCCTAAGTAATCAGTTAAGTCTCCATGCACTTACGTAAGCATCTACCTCAGTATCATTGTAAAATTTTACTCTTAAATCTAATCTTACCCTGTTCTTTTTAAATTGTAATTTTAATTAAACTTTGATTTATGTCAGCTATTAAAATTAATTATTGAGCTCATTTTGTTGTCTTAAGTTCATACTAATTATAGGTTCAAAACTAAGCTATATAAAATTAATTATCTTTAAGATTATTTTACTTTACGATTATCATGTGTCTCATTATTTTTTGTTATATATTAATCTTGACAGTCCCTACTGATTTTTGGTTTTCTCCTTTTTCTTCTCTTTTTTTTCACCTAACTTCTGTATCCTTCCTGGGTATCTAGGGTGATCTTTATTATACTTCTAATTGTTTCTATTTTTATGCATTTATTGTTGTGTTTTGCAATAATAATTCTCTAATTACAGTAGATTTTGTATTTATGTAAGCATCTACCTCAGTATTATAGCAAAATTTTACTCATTAATATAATTTTACCCTGTTATTTTTTTTTTATTTTAAATTTAATTGTAATGTGATTTATACATCATTTATTGTAATTAATTATTGAGCTCATTATGTTTTCTTAAGTTTATACTAATTATAGGTTCACAACTAAGCTATATAAAATAATTTATCTTTAAGATTATTTTACTTTACGATTATTATTTGTCTTATTATTTTTGCTATATATCAATCTTGTCATCCTACTGATTTTTTATCTTCTCTCTTAACCTAACTTCTGTATCCTTCCTGGCCATCTACGGTAATCTTCACTCTACTTCTAATTGTTTCTATTTTTTGTGTTCTTACATTTATTGTTGTGTTTTGCTATAATTACTTTCTATTTACAGCAGATTTAGTATTTAACTGTTCCTGTAATTGCTTGTCTTATTGTATCGTGACCCCATTGCATCTACATGCGTACTGATATTGATCCTGATCGAAATCTTCTGTCTCATATCCACACTAATCAGCACATTGACCATCATTATTGCAGGTATTACACAGCTAATCTTGCAAAAAAACAAACTCCTAAATAGCACCTGCTTCTCAGTTTACAACCAAAATGTTAGATCCCTTTGTAAACATTTTGAGGATATAAATGCACTACTCACAGCACTAGGTACTAAATTATCTTTCATTATTTTAACGGAAACCTGGCTAAGTAAAGACTATACCCAACTCTACAACTTAGTTGGTTATAAAGCCATTCACAACTGCAGGCCTAATAAAAAAGGAGGTGGTACAGCAATATATTACAAAGATACCTTCATCTGCAATAGTGTCATTAGTGATAGAGGCGACTATAGACACATTAGTGATAGAGGCGACTATTGTGAATATACCTTTGCCAAGTTCTCCAGTAAATCCCTTAAATCCTCCTTGACTATCAGTGCCATGTATAGATTTCCCAATACCAACATAGCTTCATTCTCAGATAATGTAAGGAATCTTATCATAAATATCAATCTCAACAAAAATCACATCATTTTAGGAGATGATTTCAATATTGACCTGGGTCTACAAAATAACCGTCTAGTTGACTATTTTCATAACAGCATGAACTCCTGTATGCTAATCTCCACAATCACCAAGCCCACCCGAATCACTCAAACGTCTGCCACTACCTTGGATCACTTATGGACTAATATAACAGCTCCCCTTACATCTGGGATAATCTATGACAGAACAACTGACCACTATCCTACCTTCCTCATAGCAAACATGGACATAACACCACCAGAAAGCAAGAAACTCTCATTCAGGCTACACAGTGAATCAGCTTTAGGCAATCTCTCAAATGCACTTCACAATATTAACTGGGAATCTGAATTCAATAATACACAGGATATAAACTCATTAACTAACCTCTTTCTCTCCAAGACTCTAAGCCTCTACAACACTCACTGTCCCCTCCTTACCAAACAAGTAACTGACAAAGGAAAAAACAATCCGTGGCTCACAAGTGGCATATTCAAATCAATCAACAAAAAACATGAATATGAAAAGAAATTTAGGATTGGCCTAATTACAAAGGAAGCAGTTAAAAGGTACTCATCATTGCTTACCAGTATCATAAGAAAAGCTAAACTTTCTTATTATGAGACTAGATTCAAAGAAGCAAAAGGCAATATGAAAAGCACATGGAAAACCATCTCTAATATCCTAGGAACTAAACAACACTCCCACAACCAGATAATACTCTCTAAGGATGGTTATACACCGTCAACTGATTTAGAAATGACAAATGAATTTAATAGCTTCTTTTCATCGGTTGGTGCTAACCTTGCTAGTAAAATCCCACAGACTCAGACACATATCAACACATATCTCTCAGGCAGTTTTCCAAACTCTCTTCTTCTTTCACCAGTCAGCCCGGCAGATGTTGTGTCCCTCATACACTCACTAAAAACCAAGGCTGGGAACATCAGTGAAATCCCATCTATTGTATACAAGAGTGTCTCCCATGCCCTTGCGCCACCTATAGCTCTGCTGTTCAACAAATCCCTAGTGTCATACCTTCCCTGATATCCTTAAAAAAAGCTAGAGTAACGCCAGTTCATAAAGGAAGCAATCCGGCAGACATAAACAATTATAGACCAATATCAAACCTACCAATACTATCAAAAATATTTGAAAAAATTATCTACAAACAGCTCTACTCCTACCTCGTAAAATTCGACATACTCAGCCCCTCTCAGTTTGGCTTCCGCTCCCAAAAGAGTATCAACGATGCAATTATTAGTCTCCTTGATATAATTTACTCAGCCCTTGATAAAAATGAGGTTCCGATTGGACTCTTCACTGACCTGAGAAAGGCTT